TTGGGAACCCCACAACAAATTGGGGAGATCCCTTCTTTTTTATTTGTTTGTGGAGGCAGTCTTTAAAGAACCAATTAGCACATTCCACGATGGCTATATTCCAGGTTGTACAAAATTGCAAAAAAGCCGATGAGAAATAGGTTGGCTCGTTATCAGTTTTTAATGAAGAGGGCTTGCCTAGCGCTGTAATGGCTGAAAAAAGATAAGAAATAATATGATTAACTGTTTCCCCTCATTGAGTTGTGGCCCAAATGACTCCTGACTAGGTATCAATAGATAAATGAATATATTTCCAAGGGAGCCAAAGAGGGGGAACATGGGTAACATCCATTTGCCAAAGTTGATTAGAGGTGAAACCACGGGGATTAACTCCCGTGTCCTCTGAGGGGGATGCCCCAGAACATTGGGGACCAGATGAAACAATCGGCTTGAGTGGAGTGGAATATAACAAGCTTATGCCAGCCCCCTAGCATTTTGATGGAAAAAAGAGTGACTGAAAAAAGGATCTGAAAACCAAGTAGGTAAAATATGAACAGCAGCATCAGCATGATTATTGCCTTCAGAAAGAGGCCCAGGAAGGGGAGAGTGACTACGTATGTGAGAAATGCTTTCAGTCTTGTAGCAGCTGTTGCAACGTTAAAAACAAGGCCATGAGATTAGGGTCAATCCTGGGCGTAATATAAGCACCTGGAAGATTAAAAATAAGTTGACACACATAATGACAGTCAGAGATTAAATTGAAAGGCTGATGAGAAAAAGTTTGGAAAGCTAAAATAGCAGCAGACAATTCTGAACTTTGAGGTGAGGATTGCACTGCAGTGTAGGACACCTTCCAGGTATCATCATGAGGATCCTTGTAAGCAATCACTCCTCTCGTTCACCCTCCATCTGAAAAAAACAGTAGGAGCTTGTGGCAATGGAGAAGGAGAAAGCAGTGGACAGACAGGAATGGAAGAAGTCATTAAGCAAGCAAGCCGAGGATCTTTAGGCAAATGATATGCAGTACAGCCTACATAATCAGTTAAAGCGCATTGAAGAGATAAGTTATTCTGAAAATAAAATTGAAAATCAGATTTACATAACTCCACCAATTACATTTTACTGTACTTATCAAAAATTACAAAAAAAATCCTAAATCATGTTTCTACACTAACCATTTTTGATTTCTGCCCCCACTTCTTATTTGCAAAGCCCATTGTAAACACTTTGTGATTTTACCTGTTGTGCTGATAATAGTTATGCATTCTTCACATTCTTGTTGTAAACTTGTCCTGATGGAGTCAAACTTTAGTGTCAATTCTCTGCTTTGATCAAAATATGGATTAAGAGTATGTACAGAGTGCGGCTAGTTTGAATTTTGATTCCCTTGCTGAGCTGAGCTACATTGTAAACTGGGAACCTGAACCATCTTCAAAGATAACGTTCTAGGCAAACTGCCCACCTCAGCCTAGCCATCTAAGGCTTCTTTGTTTGCAATAACTCTGAGAAAAATCACCTCGCCTTTCTTAGGCAAAAGCTCAAAGCAGAGAGAAAAAATTGCTAAAGTGAGCAAAAAACCTCATTTCCCCCCCCCCCCCAATTTTCCTGCTTCTGCTTTTTCAAGGCAAAAAGTTAACAACCAGCAAGGAGGGGGGGGGATGTTTAAAATACCACACAGAAATCTCACCCCAACATTCTTTCAACAAAATAATTCTCTCTCTCCATTAAATCACACACATTTCTCCATGGGACCTTTCTCATACTCTCCTTTTAATCTGGGATGGGGTCAACACATAGACATTTACACCAACTTTTTACCATCAACATACTCACAAATTTGTACTGTAATCAGATTGCTTGAATACTCACAATTCTTTTCTGGGAGCCAATGAACTCCATTGTCTAAATAATTTTGTGCACTGTTATTAGAGGGTCTCATCCTCCAGGTCTGCAAATGATTACACATAGACACATTCTCACACACAACATTTCCAGACCTGGGAAGGTTTTGTCCCTTTAAATCTCCATGTTTTCTTCCTTTGGACAACCTGCAGTTTGTTCTCAGAGCAGTGAGATAACTCAAGGAGTGGTTCCAATCGCAAATGTGATTGTGGGCCCTAACCACTGCCTATCTGCTTCCCACAGTTCTAAGTCCAATCCAAAAAGCTAATTTAATTCTCTGGCTGGCCAAACATGTCACAATTATTTTATTTTGAACTGCAGGAGCCCCAGTTGGGCCTATATACAGGTAAAGGATATCTTTCTTCAATTCAATCCTATTCAAGTCTACATGCAATTATTATACATTATTATACATACACATTTAAATTCAATTCTGCATGCAATTATTCTACATTATTATACATACACATCTAAGAAGTTTTAATGGAAATCACATCATGAAAAGAACAGTAAACTTTTGCTTCTTCTCTTAGTTCTTTCTATCACACATAACAGCCTAAATTAACGATATCTTCTTTGATCAGCCTCAATGTTCTGTATGGAGGGGCTTCCCAACACCGATCTGTCTCGTTCCATGCTCCTGAACAGCAGAGCTAACTGTGGACCATTGAAATCAATGGGGCATGCCTTCCACATCCGACTCTGCCATCCAGTGCATCAGAAAAGAGCAGTTGCCTGCATTCTAGTTACACCCATTGTTTTATCTCCTTAAACACTAAATAATTAAAAGGGATTAAAAATAAAAAATTTAAATTAATAAATTGTTACTATGTGTCTCTGGCCTGGGCATGTTCCCTTTTTACCCTTTTTCTTATTGTTTTTCTAATACTTGCCTTATGGGGATGTACAATGGCCGTGGAGAAGCAAAAGATTTAGCCTCCTAAAGGCTAAAGGAGGAGCTGAAGGTCCAATTGGAGAAGTTTTTGGGGTGTCAATTTTTACCTGATCATAATCAGGAGGGGGGCTTGTAGTCAATTGTTGTGCTGCTGAGATATCAGAGCCAAATTTTTCCACTGCTTGACGGCATTGATACCATCAATGTAATATTTGGACTGGAGCCCTGGGTTCAAGATGTAAAGTATGCCCTATCTTTATCCAATCCTTTAACCTGAGCGTCCCACGCTCTGGATACGAGGGACAATGTTTCCCTATCTCCTCAACCAGCTTCCTTATGTCTGCCCCAGGCACTGTAACGCCTGACTTGTGTATCAGGAATCTGAGTTCCTGTACATGTTTATGCTGGTGCTGAGATAGATTGCAACCCATACTTACCACTGAGGGGTCCCGTGGGATGAAGGTGCACCTAAGGGTCTGTTCCAGACAATAGTAAGTATGTTGGCTGTTGCTACCCACAGGGGGTTTTGTAGTCTCTGGTCGGGCGCCACTTGATGGAGTTCAAAGACCAGTCATTTCGCAGGGTACCATGATGTCTGACTGCCTGGGCAGCATTTATTGCTTTTATACAGTTTTTACAAGCAGAAAAAAGTAATATAGAAACAGTATTTGGATTGGTGAATTCCCCCCAGCAATCCTTAAGAATATACAAGTAAGGAAGTGATGCTGTTAGCAGGGGAGAACATGTAGGTGTTTGTGCCCCATACAGGACCTCTATTGCTACTACAGATGTTGATTGTGGTAGAAGTAAATAAAACATTCCCAAGTATTTGAAAACAAAGCAAAGAAGCCACCATGTTACTACTAAAGTCTGGTTACTTAAAACTTGATTGTAACTGAATATTCAAATCTGTAATATTCCAGTAATTCATGTATCTGCATAAACATATACAGGTAGTCCCAACTTGTACAACCAAATTTGGGACCAGAATTTCTGTTGTTAAGCAAATTAGTTAACTGTACAAGCTTTTTTGCCACTTTTGTTAAGTAAATCTAGCTTCCTATATTGACTTTGCTTGTCAGAAGCTGTTTGGGAAAGTCACATGACCTCATGATGCTGCAATCATCATAAATACATCCAGGTTGCCAAGCACCCAAATTTTTATGATGTGACTATGGAGATGCTATGACAGTCATGAGAGTGAAGACCACCATAACTCATTTTTTTCAGTGACTTTATAACTTTGAATGGTTGCTAAACAAATGGTTGTAATTTAAGGACTACCTTGAGCTGTAGAACAACAGCCATTTAGATGTAGAAATAGATGTTGCATAGATTACTAAAATAAATGATGCATTAGAAAAGAACAAAACCAGAAAATCTTATTCTACTAGGGCAGTGGTGGCTAACCTATTTCAGTTCCTGTGCTAATAATTGTGTGCACTCTTGCTTGTATGCACTCACGTGCCAGCACCCAGAAGGCAATGTGTGCTGGCCCTTCCATGTCCCCTGCACATGCATGTGAACCCCCCCCCTCACGGGCCATGTGTCTGTGTATGCGTATGTGAGTTCTTCTCACACTCTGCGCATGCGTGCGAGATCCCACCTTGTGCTCTGCACATGTGTGTGCAATTCCCCCTCGTGCACTGCACATCTGTGCATGCATGCGTGATCCCCTCATGTGCAGCACATCCCTGCGCATGTGCGTATGTCTCCCATGCACCCTCCTCCACCCCCTGTGCATGCGCACCAAATACCCAACGATTAGTTGTTGGGCGGTGGCACATGCAGGCATGCACAGTGGGGCTCTTCCAGGCGACCTCTCGCGTGCCAAGAAAATGGCTCTGTGTGCCACTTCCGGCACGTATGGCATAGGTTCACCAACATGGTGCTAGGGGTTGAAAAAATTGGAAAAAATTGGAACTCACTGAAGAACACTAATAACTTTTTCTTAGAAAGGACTATGTGATAGACAGTAATCTCACTTATCTTCTTAATTTCTTATACATGTGCTACTTAATATTTATATTATGACATTGTGTATTACATATTGAATTGCCATAAAATAGCTATATAGTTAGATAATATTCAATTGTCAAAACTTTTGTAAGCATTTAAAACCAATGTTAAAGCAAAATTTAATTATAAGATTTAATTAGAATATATCATCCTTGTTACTTTCATTACGATATTTAATGATACAGAAATTACTGTCTTCAAACAGATCTGAAGAGAGAAGCAAGTATCTGTCACATGCTGAAACATCCTCACATTGTTGAACTTCTGGAGACCTATAGTTCTGATGGAATGCTATATATGGTTTTTGAATTGTAAGTTTTAAATTCCTCATATTTTTTTGAGATTTTCAATTATTCTAGAATGCCAAGTATGTTTTCACATTGTAATTTGTACATGTGTATATGTGCGCATAAATAAATATGTGCATTATGTGTAATCATTATTTGCATATTATGTTCAAATTGTAACTACCCTAGTTATATATGGCCAGAGGAGAATAATGTGATCAGTTAGGGAAATGAATAATGTTCTTTAAATTAGTGATCAATACTATACTAAGCAAAAATACACTTTCATATTACTTTTGGTTGCATTCTATTCTATTCTATTCTATTCTATTCTATTCTATTCTATTCTAGCAACCCAACTCACAGCTTACATTTTAAAGGTAAGAAACAAATAAAGAGGAAATGGGAATGAACATCCAGGAAAAAAAAACTAACCCACAGAACAGAAAAAAAATAGAGTCTTGATAATGATCCCAAGCCTAGGTTGGAATGGGACTTTTTGGCTCCTACCCTTGGCCGCGTCTGCTCCTCCACTAGGGTTCCGCCTCTGCATTCACATCTAGCTTTTCTCCTCGGCTGGCAAGCCCCTAGCTGTTCACCATGGCCTATGGGTCACAGCCCCTCCATCCCACTCACTTCGGCACGGCCCATTCAGCAAAACATTGTTTACCCTGGGCTTTTGGCCACCCGGGACAGTTAGCTGTCAGCCAATCAGTTAACTGCCAATGTTGGTAGCCAGAAGCCATGGGGTGATCCATTGCAGGGGGTGGGCTTGGGGGTGGTGCTGCAGCCAAATGACCTCAGTTGCTTGTTATGAGAAGGAAAGGGAGGAGCTTTCCTGTACACCCTCCCCTCTCTCTCCCCTTCCCCTGTCCCTTCCTCATTCTCTCTCTTTTTAAGGCTAGGATACCCACCCAAAACAAAAACTCCTTTAGATGAACCCAGCTTACTTATTGCCACCCCCCCAAGCTCTTCCCTTCCCGTTAGTTATCAGGGAGGCACGATTATTTACAGGGGAGCTTCCACCCCCTCCCCTTCTCCTAACAAGCGCCTGACATTGTTTTGCTGCAGTACTTCCCCCAAACTTCCCACCCCTGCAATGGATCACCCCATGGCTTCTGGCTTCCAGCATTGGCAGCTAGCCGATTGGCTGGCGGCTAACTGTCCCAGGCGGGCCAAAGCCTGGGACAAACAGTGTTTCATCGAATGGGCCGTGCCAAAGCATGTGGGACAGAAGGGCTGTGGCCCATAGGACAGAGTGAACAACTAGGGATGTGCCAGCCGAGGAGAAAAGCTAGATGTGAATGCGCAAAGGTGGAACTTTGGAGGAGAAGCAGGCATGGCCAAGGGTAGGAGCCGAAAAGTCTTAGACCTGCCTAGGTTAGGGATCAAAGGTAGTTTTTCAAAGATTTTCAGAACAAGTGCAGAATATGATAAGAAAACTAAAAAAACTTGAAAATATGAAATAAGGAAAAGGAATACAGATAGGTCACAATTAGTGTTAGGTCAAATAATGCAGTATTCTATTTAGTGCAAATTGTTAGTTGATGCTGAGTCATGTTTAACCCAAATTCCAGTTCGTGTGAGGTTAATGCGTAGGTAAATGAGGCTAGTCCATAAGGAAAGTAAGATATTGTCCAAAGAAAATAGTAATGTGCAAGTAAAGGCGTTCATTCTCAAGGAATTTGAAGATAGTTTTTGAGAAAACAAAATTATGGGTGCTGACCCTAACCTTGATCAAAATCATGCCAATTTGCAGAAATGTGAATGTCACTTTATATCTATCAGCATACGTATGAAGTTTTAAAGAAAGAGATAACAGTTCAGTTTACGCTGCTAGCTATTTTGAGAGACAATAAAGGTTATTTTTGTCACTTTATGCTTATCTTTAGGAATGATATTTAGACTTCTTTTGTTTTTACTTTGCTTTCTATAACTACTATGACTTTGTTAACCATAAAATTAAATCATATATTCTTTTACCCTTTACTGTAATATTTCATTAATACACATATTAAATTTGTGCTTAAAAGTTATCTCTCAAGCTGGAACCAATTTTCATATTTTCCATAAAAAGATCATTTTGAAAAATGCTCACCATAGCATGCACCATTTCATAGACTGTCTTTTAATCTTCTTATCTTTTTCTTTGTGGATATCATCTGCACCATTCAACCATGAGCATCTCGGTCTTCTCCTTCCTCTTGAACCATTTATTCTTTTTTATATAATTCTTTAAGTGATAAAACTATGTCAGCCTATTATTTTTGTATTAATCTGTCACTGGTTCATTTAATCTATATTTAATCCATATTCATTTAATGCATTAAATTTTCTCACATTCACATAGTCTCCCCTTGCCAGCCCTTCTTTAGCTACCATCAGTCTTACTGCATTCAATTGGCTTAGAAGCCTTGCCAATCAAACCATAGATTTCTCTGTGACATTTTTGTGAAAGAAAACCTACATCATGTTACACACACGCACAGAGTAGAATTTATCTCCTTATGCTGATTTTATTTATTTATTAAATTGATGTGTCACCTATTTCACTATACAAAGCAACTCTAGATAATTTACAATAAAATTATAAATATAAAATATTAAACCCCAAAGTATTCTTTTTTCCAATAGGCAACTAGACTTTTTTGTTTGAAGATTTTCATTTCTTATCCCAGAAACTTCTTCAGCTCTGAGGAGATGGTAGGAAATACAAGGATTTATACTCCTTGTAGACAGCTGGTCATTTGCATTCTTTTAGAGAGTTGCTGAGGCCACCTGAAGGTTTATTTGTG